GAAGAATTGGTGCTTTTGAATTATGGTGCTGGAGGAGACTCTTGAGAGTCCATGGACTGCAAGAAGATCAAACCTATCCATTCTTAAGGAAATCAGCCCTGAGTGCTCACTGGAAGGACAGATCCTGAAGCTGAGGCTCCAATACTTTGGCCACCTCATGAGAAGAGAAGACTCCCTGGAAAAGACCCTGATGTTGGGAAAGATTGAGGGCACAAGGAGAAGGTGACAACAGAGGACGAGATGGTTGGACAGTGTTCTCGAAGCTACCAATGTGAGTTTGACCAAACTGCAGGAGGCAGTGGAAGACAGGAGTGCCTGCCGTGCTCTGGTCTATGGGGTCACAAAGAGTCGGACATGACTAAATGACTAAACAACTAAACAACAACAACATTGCCAAGACACAAATGGGGAAGTATTCCTCTGTTCTTACCCTGGCCAGGTTGAGCCAGCAGGATTCTAGAAGTGTTATTGGCTTTGCTCCAGATATCCCTCCCCAACACACATACTTTAGGATTGCTCTGCCCAGATTTTAGAGAAAACGGATCTAAATTTGGAATGTAGGTATGCCTTTCAGAACTGTCTTCAGTTTGCTCACTTGCTCTTAAACTTGTTTTTATCCCATTTGGTTTTTAAAGGATTTTACCAATCTGCTACATGTTAGTTGGCTGTGCTGAATTTTTCTTGTTATAAATTTGTATAGCACCCTTTATCCGTAGATCTTGGGGTGGTTTACAACGTAAAATTCCAATATAAAAAAACACAAAACACAAAATATGAATAAGAGCAAGAACAAACCAATAATCCCCACTCCCACAGAACTCTACATTCTGAAGCAGTCCTACTGAAGTCAGTGGAGCTACTCTGGAATAAATGATTTGGCAACCGCAGAGCCTTTCAGATAATCTAACCTATAAAAGAGCTTTCTTGAAATATTTTTATTTACACTTTAAAAAGATGAAAATTAAATTAAACGTATACTATACCAAGCAGATGTGGCTGAGTGCATGAAATTTACATTCTTTAATGTTGCGGCAGAACAACTAATGAAGAGCAAGCCAAGAAATGATATCATCCATAGACAATGACTAATCTGAAACACTGAAAAAGGGAAGCTAATATGACTAGTGTTATGTGATCTTAAATGAAAGGTCCAAGAAGAGGGCAAAATTACATGGGGGCAGAGTTAACGCCATGCTTTGTACTTAAATTAGAAATTGTTGTGGATAGAATAAATTTCCATTATCTAGGAAGTAAATAATATGTCTTAATCAGCTTTTTCTTTTTAAAGAGTCACACACACACAATTTAATTCATTTATGTACATGACAATTAAATCTTTTCGTCTCCTAGCAACCTATGAGATAGCTTTGCACTATCAGGCTGTATTCAATATTATGTGTTGCATAATTGTGGACATTTGGGTTCTGGTGTTTGTTAACCAAAGTGACCTTAATGATTATCTATTCGTTTTGTTCTCTTACAATCTTTCTTTACTGTCTCACATTTAGATTAAGTTTAATTTACTTATCTCAAACTATTGCAAACCATTTCCTTATTTTTTTTTATGGAAATCAGCAACTATTTCTGCTAGACTGAACCACATGCAGTGAGGTATGGTGTTTGGGGGCAATTACACATTGAATGAATACACACACTGTTACCATAGGGAGGGAGGGTGTGGAGTGAACCAGAGGGAACAAGTTTTCCCTCTGGTCTACTCTCCAGGCCTGTCCTGTAAAAGCCGGCTAGTGATGCTGATTGCCTCTTGGGGTGGAAACCAGCCTAATCTTGGCACAATGGTAGCACTGCAAGCCAGTGACTGGGCTAGCTCAGTACTGTACAGGGCACAAAACTTAGATCATGTGTAATCTTATCAGATCACAAGCAAGGTTTCATCATCATGAGATTTGGGTAGCCTGACTCTCTGGTCTCATGGCTGTTCTCCTCCACTGTGGACCACTGCAAATTGTTCCTCCTCTGTCTGCATTATCACAAGGGAAAAGAGAATCCTTTATAGGAAGTCTAGGGATCCTGTGGCCCTCAAAAAGTTGCCAAACTCTGATTCCCATCATCATGACAATTGACCATGCTGGCTGGGGCTGACAGGAGCTGAAGTGCAACATCTGAAGAGCCACAATTTCCCCATTCCTGCTTTTGTCTGGAATGGGGAAACACAACACTTTTGTCAACTGCTGTAGTTAAGGTACAAAAAGCACATGCCAACCAAAGCTTCTTCCTTAACTTCTGGATTTATTTGTGCTTCTCTGTGTGTGTGATGAAAGAGAACTTATTATGTGATCAGAAATCTACATCCATATAAATATTTGGGGACATTTGTTATCACTCACAAAAGCAATATCTTAAATCGGCGTTGAAATGCACATTTGGGCCACAAGCTTATGGGTGAGCGATGCATTTTGGATGAACTTTGAACACTGTTTCTGATACTCCATATATCCATCTTTTCATGTGGGAAATCCAAGGAACCACAGGGAATATACATTACGTTCTTTACAATCTAGGCATCTGGCTGCTCTGCATATTATTGCTTCCTTAGTATAACAAGGAAAGTAATGAAAAATGATATAAGGAATATGGATGAAACAGAACCTCTGGAGCTAGGAAATTAAGCATAAATTGAGGGGAGGTAAAATGTTCACTACTCATTTAGGGACTGGTCCAACTCCCATTAACATCCTTGGGGGAAATCCTCAGTTGACTCGGTGGAAGTCGCATTATGACAATACAGAAACATATGTGGGACAATTACACGCAGGGAACCACTGCATGAGCTAGGAAGCTTTCATTTTCCCAGACGTGGGAAGCTCTGCACTTCCACTACATTTGTTAGGAAAATAACTCAGACTAGCTAAACATAATCCCTCCACAGACCATGACTGAGAATAATGGTGGACTCTGAAGCAATGCAAGTAATGCAATTTCCTTAGAAGCACCATAAGAGCTAAGATTGCTTTGGGCTCCCAAAGCTCTCAGAGCGGTTAACTTGAACTACAGCCTGACTTAGGATATGTGGGAAATATGTCAGAGGGTGTCTACGTGAACATCATTCCATTATTCACCAGGGCTGGGGAACTTGGGGAACTCAAGTGCCACCCCCAAGCTTATCTATCTGGCCCCCAGAGCTCTCCCTCAGCTATACCCCTCACTGTAACCGCTTTACACCCAGGATGCTTTCCATTGAATCATAGAATTGCAGACACAAAGATAACAACTCACATTTGTGTCTTTCCACTTTTGTCTCTGGCCCCACGTGTTACTGGCAGATGGGTGTCCACGTTGGTTCATTCCAAGATTCTCAAAATGGTTTTGGTGTGGAACCTCCTTTTCCACCCAGGACCAATCACAGATCTGGAACGGGCAAATTTGGCATGATTGAAAAAGATTACGATAGCATGTGCTTTCTCAGGATTAATCAAAGGCGATTGTATTAAGGGTTGATTTATACGCTAGCACTTGGTCTTGTTTAGTTTGTGGGCCAGGTCAGCTGTTGTTCATCCTAAAACTTTCTGAATATTTTCTCCTCTGGTTGACGGAAGTCTGCTCTCAGTCAGATTTTCTTTTTTGTTTCTTCTTTAAAAATCTTATTTGGATTGACTTTGTTATGAAGCTGTGAGAATACTCATGCATGACTTATGTTTGTATACAGCAAGAGCAGACAGACTTTTCAGTGGAACCCTTTCATCCTGACCCTTAGAAATGTCTTAAGTGTAACCTTTGAATGAGGGAGAGTAGCAGGATGTTCATGCAGAAACCACTTTTGAATGGGACCTAACCTTGTGCCATTTTGGATTTCTCTCTCCAAACAGATATATTTCAGTAAGTGGCCCATTAGCACTGCACAGAGGAAATATCCAGATGATTTCCCTCCCTGGTCTTTTTAAAGCTCTTCAGCATTTGCTAGATAACACTGGTGTTTGTACTGATATTACAACCACTTCACTAAATTGAAACTCCTCAGCCAATCTCTGCTCCACATCAGTGCCAGCCCTAACCAAGGCAAATGTTCTACATTGTTTATGCAACAGCAATCAACAAGGCCAATTTAGCATGCACTAGAATAAATTATGATAAATTTCCTGCCTGGGGGTAAAGATAAACCGGCCGGCTGATGCAGTGGTTATCTCTTGAAGAACAGGAAATTGATGAACAGACATTTTTTCTCCTCTAGGCTATCACTTAAAAAAAATAATCTAGCATTTTCAGTAAAATGATGAGCTGTAAGGCTCCCATGAACTTAAATGGTAAAAATAGATGCTCTTTAAATGATGCTTATCTCCATGTTTGATTTCTTAAAGCATGGGTTTTTAAAAAAACAAAAATAAATGTACCGTATTTTTCCATGTATAAGACTAGGTTTTCCTCCTAAAAAATAATGTCAAAAATTAGGGGGCATCTTATACACAGATACATCCTCTCCCATTTTCTTAAATCTGAGTCCCCAAAAATAGGGGGCGTCTTAAACATGGGGGCGTCTTATAGACGGAAAAATACGGTACTTATTCTATGCTTTCGAGCTGGCCTCATCCCAAGAGCTTGCCATGTGTAGCAGCAATCAAAATAATAATAAAAGTTGCTGAAAATTAACCCTTCCCTGGTCATCAATACATGAAATGACCCCGAGAGAATCGTGCCCTTGAACTGGAGGCAACTCAAGACAATATTCATAACAGCTTTGGTCAACCTGAGGTCTGAGAGCTACCTGTGGCCCTAAGCCTAATTACACATGGGCGAGCGAAGCCTGGAGGGAGACAGGAAGAATGGGAGTAGAAAAAGGACAGAGGCGGGAGGAGGAACTGAAATGGATGGAGGGATGAACAAAGGGAGAGCGGCAAGGAGGGAATCCTACTGCAAGCGCTCTGACTCTTCTCTGAAGAGGCACGGAGGGGGGGGTGTTTATACCCAACCCCTTTGGGCTCTGGTACCACCCACCACTGGCATGTGCACCCAGACATATTTGCTCCAGTGGAATGCAACCCTAGAGATGAGAGAGAGAGAGAGAGAGAGAGAGAGAGAGAGAGAGATAGATTTGGGGGTGGAATGTTTCCTACCTCTGGTTTATATTTATCACTTTCTATTCTGTGCTTCAGAACACTCTAGTACATTATAGTGAAAACTGATATTAGCTATTGTGAATGACTCTCTCTCTCTCTCTCTCTCTCTCTCTCTGAACTAAGTCGATGTTGTTGCTGTTTCCTGTAGTATTTGAAGTAGGAAGTGCCTTCTCTAGGCTTTGGTTTGGGCAGGGGATTGATGTAGAACTATAGGTCCTTGTATGGTCACTTTGCCTGCCCTTTGTCTCAAGTGCCTTGCAATATAACTTGAGCGCCACTTCATATAGGATTATTCTTTTACACAGATAGGATTTCAGTGCGGAGGGGCGGGGAGGTTGTCATGTGTCCATATGACATGTGGAATTCCTCTGTTTCTCTGGTCATGAATACACACACACAGAGAGAAAAGTATATGTGTTAGGCATAAATGACTTCCCTCATGGGAGTTTGTTATCCCATTCCCGCACCCGGGTTGTTCGAACTCTCTGTGTGATAAAGTGAATAAATGGTGGTTGCAATTTTGTTTTGCTGTAAGCTAGTTCTGGATTTTGTGACTGGATTTTTGTTAATATTATATTAGTTTCATTTTATATTATTTGCATTGTTTTAGCTCGTTTATCATACATTGCCCTGAGAACTTGTGTTGTGGGATGACTAACAAATATCAACAATTATTAATATAATTAATAACATTTCCATCTGCCAAAGTTGGAGTGAAAATGAGTTGTTCTCCAGTCAGGAAAAATGCTTCAGATATGATGATATTACAGAGAGGCTGAAGTAGTGGGAAGTCTTTCTTTTCCTTTACTATACTTGCCCCAAATAGAACCATTACCATCTTCCTTAAATCAGGCCCTTAATGTTGTGGAAATTTGCCCTGAAGAAGTTTGGATTTGATATCCTGCTTTATCACTACCCGAAGGAGTCTCAAAGCGGCTAACATTCTCCTTTCCCTTCCTCCCCCACAACAAACACTCTGTGAGGTGAGTGGGGCTGAGAGACTTCAGAGAAGTGTGACTGGCCCAAGGTCACCCAGCAGCTGCATGTGGAGGAGCGGAGACGTGAACCCAGTTCCCCAGATTACGAGTCTACCGCTCTTAACCACTACACCACACTGGCTCCCAGTGAAGGTAAAAGGTGCTTGTTTAAATTCACCCCCCATCTGACAATGGTCTTCAATTAGTGGGTCACAAGCCACTATTAGTTCAGAGCCTGATCCAAGATGAGTTGCAACAGCAGCATTACCAACCATCCAAATACATGAGAACAAATTAAGAAATGTTTCCCTAAATGCATATTTGGATTAATGGTGTGTTTGGGGCCTGGAAAGGCTAAAGACTATGGAACTAGATAATAAGACTGCACTTTATGAGTAGAATTCAATAATATTCAGTAGTTACCCTTGGAATAAATGTCTAGAGAAGTGCTATGTAGATATAATGGAATGGAAACCATAATGGGTGACAAGTTTTGTATTTGTACAAAAAAAAAAAGTGGTGGATGCTGCTGGACTGCAACTCCCATCATTTCTTGCCATTGTTCATGCTGACTGTGGCCAATGAGAGTTAAGAGTCAGGGCCGGCCCATTCATGAAACAAGGTGGGATGCCTGCCTCAGGCGGCAGGATCCACAGGGTACCAGATATGGTCTCCAAGGCATGCATCGCCCACTGCTGCTGCAGTGGCAAGTACAGCTGTGGCTGGTCTCCTTCCATTCTTGTTCCCAAAGCAGATCTTTCCTCCCCCTTTGTTTCTGATGTAGATCTTCACTCACCCCTTCTCCCCTGTTGAGGGGTGCACCATTTTACAGTTTGCCTCAGGTGCCAAAACATCTTGGGCCAACTCTGGTTAGAGTCCACAACATCTGGAGAGCTGTAGGTTCTCCGCCATTGGAGTATCTGTTTTCTGCTTTCACAGATTGCATTCAATTCTCTTGAGTGAAGGGTGGTTAAGACTACTGATGTGATGCCTTTAGAAGTAACTAAGCCACAGTTCTTCAAGAGATACATGCAAGAGCCTCACTTTTGTCCCTTGGGATAAAGGAGATTTCTGACATTCTCTGGAGGCCAAACCTTCTGCCTTAGGTTACCTAAGAAGCCCTGAAAGATTGCCGTTACGTACAAAACAGTGAAGGCCGGCAGCCACAGCCAAATAGCCCAAGTGAGGTGGGGGTGGAAATAGAGTCTGAAGCTGAATATAAGGTTCAACTTGTTTCCAATGTCCTGTTTTCCTTTCCTTTCTCCTTCCTGCATTTCACCACAATTTTATTTTCCACATCAAACATAACTCCCCCATTTCCTCTGAAAGTCCTCACATTTTCTGCTGCAGGTAGTTAATGCAGCATGGCAACAGAAAGATATAGGAAAATTTACCCTAATCAGCCGCATCACTATCCATGCAAGAAAACAAGACAATTGTGCTACACACCAAAGACTGCACACTTCACACCAGTTAAATCGCCAGGAAAATTGATAAACAAAAATACAGAAATGAAGTGGTTTGGGAATGATGCCTAGAATCTCTGGAATAACTGAGTAAGCGTATGGTGTCCATTTAGCTAGCGAAGAAGCCCTCACAGTCACAGGCATGGGGTGGGCAATGAGTTTTACCACGGAGCCAACCTCTGGCAACGTTAAGAACTCACCATCTTTGGAGGCAGCCGTTCAAAGAAAAGGATGGCCACTAGGTGGCAGTAGAAACCTCTTAAATAGTAACGCACAGCTGAATCTTCAGTACTAAATCTATGAAACTTTAAATCAAGCAAAAGTTACAGTCTGGTTCTATGAATTTTTACTTGGGAGTATGCTCCACTGTGTTCAACGGGCTTACTCACAGGCAAGTGAGCATAGGACAGTGGACTGCAGTTCTATACACACTTATCTGCAAGTCCCATTCAACTCAATGGAGCTCACTTCTGAGAAGCCACATATAGGATTGCAGTTAAGCACAGTCAACTCAACAGAAAATAAGTCCATGGCTTAAAAGACCAGTGGGTTAGAGCATGGCACTGATAACATCAAGGTTTCAGGCTCGATCCCCGCATGGGACAGCTGCGTTTTCCTGCATTGCCAGAGGTTGGACTAGATGATCCTCAGGGTCCCTTTCAACTCTAAAAATCTATGATTCTATGATCTCTCACTACTGAAGTCAACTGGTCAAAACTTATCTTGGCACACCTGTCCAAAATCTTAAAATAACATTATTAAAATAATTATTGAAAACTAATAAAAATTACATACATATATATATATATATATATATATATATATATATATATATAACATGGTAAATTTTCTATATCAATAGAATTCTATACATATAAATTTGATTTTATGAGGTGGTGACAAGGCAAGCAGACAAGAAGAGTTAGAATATTGAGCAATGTTGTTGTTTTTTTAAATTCCATCCAGAAATAGCATTTGATTTTGCAAAGTTTATGTGATTAGCAGTATTTCTGTTATCATTATCATTATTTAAAACACACACAGCAGGAGTGAGTAGCAGTGGTGCAACCTAAACCGGAACTAGATAAATATACGTTATGGCAGATGTGGGGCGACTATGGCCCTCCAAATGTTTCTGGACTCCAATTTCCATCAGCCATAGGAAGAGAGAGTGGCCAGGGATTATGGGAACTGGAGTTCAGCAACACTTGGAGGGCCATAGTTTCCCGACACCTGTATTAAAGGATGAGTTAAAAGGTGATCATTGGTCAAAGGCACAGAAAGGTCACTAGGTAGAACAGGAAGGATAGATCCATGTTATTATTATTTTTTCTTAAGTTACTCTTAGATAGTTCAGAAATTATGTCACCAATAAAGATTTTATTTCTCAAGAGGCAATGTGGAAATAGGCCTTTGGCACCGCTCTACCTTTCTAACAAGGTGAAAATTCAACACATCCTGTTCTCAGCGCAGAATGCTTCAGTATAGACCAGGTCTGAGGAACTTGAGGCTCTCTAGATGCTGGCAGGCTACAGCTCCCATCAGCCCTGACCATTGGCCCTGCTGTCCCCCCCACCGTTGGCATAAACACCACTCCATAGGATAGAACAGCTGTGGGTGTGATCCAAAAGAATCTGCCCATTTCAGAAACTTCCTTGCAAAGAAATTCAAAGGAAGTAATTCACAGGTTACACCTGCAAGTTGCAAAAGAAACCATGGAAGATTTAGGCTGTGCTCACATTACCAGTTTAAAAGCACAGCTAGGCTGTTCTTGTTCTCAGTTTAACCTGAAGCTGGGGGTTGGGGGGTTGGGGGTGTGTGCATCAAAAATGCAGAATTTTCTAAGAAATGATGGGATAGATAGGGATTGTGGCTAATGTCATGTGAACACCACTTCCCAAACCACTCATGGACAGTTATTGAAGATGAATGGTGATAGATTCTGGAGAGACAAAAGAAAGCACTTCTTTGCATAGCACCATGATTGAACTCTCTCACACAAGAGGCAGTGATGACCACCTAACAACAACAACAACAACAACAATTTATTTATACCCCACCCATCTGGCTGGGTTTCCCCAACCACTCTGAGCGGCTCCCAACAGAATTAATGATAATAAGCGATGAAACGTCAGACATTAAAAACTTGGATTGTCCTTTAAAAGGATTGGACAAATTCATGGAAGTAAAGGCTGTCATGATGGCTATTTTACTTCCACAATTGGAGATTGTACGCTTCTGATGGAAGCCCTGCTCATGGGCTTGCCATAGGCATCTGGTTAGACACTATGTGAAAAGGATGCTGAGCTAGATGGACCACTGGCCTGATCCAGCATGGCTCTCCCTATGTAATTTTTTTGGGGGGAAATATCAAGGAACAAAATGTATTTCAGATCATTTCCCCTTTTCATTTAGAAAGGGCAGCTATGGTGTCAGCTCCAAAGAAGGAGGATTGATGCCTTTTGCAAACGCATCCTATTTTCCTCTGTCCTGTTCCTGGCTTTGTAGCTAATGAGTCATATGAAGAATACTGATGGAACCTTGTCTCAGTGGAGTCAATGGAAATGTTGCCATTGACATCAATGCAGCTTATTTCCAAAGTCACATATAAATTTGATATAAATTCACGTTTTTAAAATGTCTGTATCACGTTATCCTAAAGATCAAATTAAGCAAAAATGATAAAG